AAAAAAATGCAGCACTTTCAGCATTATCAGTGAAAAAGTTGGAAATGATCGGAATTTCATAACTTAAAACTTCTTTAACGTAAAATAACAAGTATGTTCAGCCAAGTTCTTTCTGACTATTTCCAGGAATTCATCATTTTCATTAAAAGAATATAAAATTACTTTATTGGAAGCGATATCAACCTTGTATTTACAGCGAAATGGAGCTTGGCAGAGAGCATACATAGTAGCCTTAACTCTTTAGCACAATAGTAGGTAGGATTTAAAAAGCGCGTGAATTATAAGAAAGTGCAAACGCATAATCATAGGACTTATTGCGTATCCACATAGTACGATAAAGTTTACCCTCGTACTGGATTATACGCTCGTTTGGCTCATGTACCACTCTGTACATGAGCAGAAAGTCAAGTAATTGCGACTGAAATATGAGGTAACAATTTGATTAGAGATACCTTTTTAGTTACGAATTACTAGTTTAAACACCTCCACATGTAGTCATTGAATGAAATTGTTAGTTTCACAAAAATGTGCGTTGCTAGCTACTTTATTTGCCATCACATAGTGCACTTGAGACAATAAGAAGGAAAAAAAATGCAGAAATCTTTTTCTAACAAAAGCGAATTTTTTGAATTTGATGAGAAATGAAATCCATTTAGCAAAACTCACCGATGCAGCGTGGTGTAAAGCTTCTTTCTGTTTTTCACTTTTGTACATCTTTCTATGAGAAAAGATAGCAAATGAGGTTTCGTGCAATGTTAGGGTCTATACTATCCTTGAATCCTATCGATGTATGCCTGTATTGCGTGTCTAATCAAAAATAATAACATTAGCTTAGAAAATATCATTCTCTTATTCTCTATGGCCAGTGGTACAAAACATATAAAGGAGATGTTGCAAGGAAACACGTAAAAAAACTTTTTATTTGTGTTTGTATGCATATTCGATAAAAGAACTCATTGTGTTAAGAAATCATGCAAACTTAGGTAAAACTAAAAGCGATAGAAGTCTCTCGACGTTATGAAATCTGGTAGCGGTAATGATGTTGCTAGTTGTTTCTATGTCACTGATGTTAGCGCTAAGAAAACGGCATTATCGTTGATTATCTTTGGTGAGATTATCTCCGTTTGCAAATGTCGTTACATTTCTAAAAATAGAGTTTAGCCGATTTGGACCGGAAAAGAACAGTTTTGACTTACATGTCTATGACTATCGCATGAGTGTCGGCAATGGACTGGTGGCGACAAAGCTGGTGCAGCCCGCACCATTGGAGGTGGTGGCGGTGGTGGAACTTGAAAATAATCAATTTTTC